GCTTCCAGGCCCCGGCGGATCCTGACCGGTGTGAAAGGGCAGGAGGGCCCCTGCCCCCAAGAATGGTAAAAATGCGGGCCTGCCTGGCCGCAGGTGACTTCCTCTGCGGGTCACCGGGGTGGTTTGGAGGTGACGTCCCCTGGCAGGGTGGGAGAGATGCTGCAGCCAATTCCTTATTAGACAGAGGAAGTGGTTAAAGATACACCTTTGGGAGATGTGAGGACGCTTCTCTAACTTAATGAGGTGGCCCAGGGAGAGTAAAACACAGTGATCCCTCTTTAAGGTGGGGGGAAAGGAATCCACATAGACCTTTGTGTCTAGGAGAGAGAATGTGTGTATACTGGAGAGAGACAGAAAGAGAGAGAGAGTATTTGATGAAGCTGAAAACCCCAGAGGAATTGTTTTTGCCATGAGAAATCTGTAAGCTAGAGGCAGTAAGCCGCTCTAAGAAAATGAAACCCGGGTTCTGGCCTGCTGTCCACCACCAGGACTGTGGTATGGAAACGTATATCACAGAACTGTCTATAATGACGACCTAGAAAACGAAAGTCACAGAAAGGTATGGCAGTGCTCGGAGATCAAAAGCTTTTGGACTTAGCAAGGTGGCAGTGTTAAGGGAAGATCCCATTTTGCTCTTTTGACCCGGGGAGAGAAGAGTCAAGGGGTCAAGGCTGCCTCCCAGGACAGGCCCAGGGCAAGAGGCCAAGGCTGGGGATTGCCCTGGAATGGACGAGAAAAATGAAGCTTAAATGCGGCCTGTAGAGAGAGGACAATGATTTATTTGAGTCCTTGGGGGCAATTGTTTGAACTGTTTTTCTACTGGGCCAATTTTAGGAGTTCTTTACGCATTGTGTACAACACTATAAGAGTAGTAGCTTCTTTTTTTTTTTTTTACAAACTGACCTTTATTAAACCAGGAATCTAACTAACCCCTCTCCTTAGAAAACCAAACTTTATTCTCGAGAGCAATTGAATACTATATTACCATCCTACCAAACATAAGTATTCTAGCCATTGTTGACCAAAAAAAAAAAAAAAAAGAAATGCCAAACTCTGTAAAATATCTTAAGATGGTTTATTCTGAACCAAACTTAGGACTTAGACCTGTGCCATATGTCCCAGGAGGTTCTGAGAACATGTGCCCACCGTGGTTGAAGATGGCTTGGTAATATGCAATTTTAGGATGGCAAAAGTTACAAAAGCATAGACCAGTACATATGAGATTCTCATTGGTTTGGCCAGGAAAAGAGGGACATTTCGAAGGGGGGGCTTGTAGGTTATGGGTGGGTTCAAAGATTTCTTGACTGGTAATATATAGTTCTTATCTAAAGAATTTTGGAGCTGGGCTGGTGTCTCAGCCCGTAATCCCATGCTTTTGGGAGGCTGAGTTGAGTGGATTGCCTGAGCCCGCGGGTTCGAGACCTGCCTGGGCAACTTGGCGAGACCTCAAGTAGCGCGCACCTGTAGTTCTGGCTACTTGTAAGGCTGAGGCGGAAGGGTTGCCGGAGCCCAGCAGGTCGAGGCTGCGGTGGCCGAGAGCGGCCACTGCACTGCAGTCTGGGTGACAGAGTGAGACTCCAACTCAAAAAAAAAAAAAATTGGGGGAATCAGGAGACAAGATGTTTTGCTAGTCAAGGGGGCAGAAAGACTCCAGGTTTGCTGATATGTAGATAAAATCCTATATGTGGCTGACTTTAAAGAGGATGGATAGCTGGTGCGGTGGCTCATGTCTGTAATCCCAGCACTTTGGGAGGCAGAGCCAATGGCGAAGATATTGCCTGAGTCCAGGAATTTGAGTCCAGAAGCGGCCACTTGGCAAGACCTCGTCTCTATAGTACACCACACTGTTAACTGACTGTGGTGGCGCATGCCTGTAGTTCCAGCTACTTGGAAGGCAGAGGTGGAAGGATCACCTGAGCCTAGCAGGTCCAGGTTGCGGTAGCCGTGAGCATGCCACTGCACTCCAACCTGGGTGGCAGAATGAGACTCCGGCTCAAAAAAAAAAAGCCAACAGGATAGACAAATGTCTTACAAGGCTCCCTCGAGTCCAGGAATCCATAAGAAATGGCCTTTCAGAACCATAAAATACTTTGTCTATTACATGATGTTATGCCAGAATCAGGTTGGAAGACAAACTTTAGGGTTATAGAACATTGGGGTAATTTAAATCCTGTTTGGTAAGTTTCTGTCAGGCATGACTCCTCAAGCATCTTAGTTAGGGATCTGGATAAGAGAAAAATCAGATTTAGTCCTTACCATGAAATATACCTTCTAATTTATAGAGGCTTGGCATATTTCATACATATTCTTTGGAATTTGTGGAACAGAAAATCCAAAGGAAAAGAAAGAACTTAAGCTTTTTAAAAAAATAAATTGTAGGCCGGGTGCAGTGCCGAGCACACGGGTTCAAGAACAGCCAGGGCAACTTGGCGAGACCTCAATTCTACAATACATCATTTTTAGTAGTTCCAGCTACTTGGAAGGCTGAGGTGGAAGAATTGCCTGAGCCCAGGAGGTCGATACTGGGTCCGTGAGTGTGTCACTGTACTCCAACCTGGGTGATGGAGTGAGACTCCAACTCAAAAAATAAATAATAATAAATTATATTTCATTTATTTAGAAAAAGCTATTTTAAACGTTTTCATTGTTTTCACTTTGACATTTGTATGAGGATTATTAAAATATGTGTTATGAGATAATATCCAGATGCCTTTGCTGTGATTTTTTTTTTTTTTTTTTTTTG